TGTTGAAAAGGTTAGAATGACGACACGACTTGAAAATTCATGTGGCTGACCAGTGTAGGGATCGAAATCTAAGGAGACATGATGGTTGGAGATGTTACTATAACCGAACTAGAATCAAATTGTTTCTCCCCGCGGGGCAATGAGTATCTTCACGACTAGAAATGGGGACCCGAGTGGCAACTTCGGTCGTAGGAGTAATTTTGCAATGAACTGTCAATTGAGTTGACTTAGATGCTACCATTGATGGTTGAGAAAATTCTTGGTGATTCAAGCAGTTAACAAGAACGATTGTGACGAGGCAGTGAAGAAGATTAGAGGAGTTGGATGTGAATTTTGTGTGAGTCAAGAAACGAAACCTTCAAACAGTGACATTATTCCATTGTAAAACTTGAAGGGGATCTCCGGTAGACAGAGAAGGGGTGTTCATGTAAGGTTATCACTCAAATATTTAAGTCAGTAAGGTTATAGGGGTGTAACTTGCTATAGTGAATGGAATTGTCCCTTTGTATGGCATGTGATCGAGCTTATATACGGGTGGCCATTAAAATTTCCCTGATGAACACAACGTGAAATGGGAAGACCGTTAGATTGATACAAACGATTGTAATGAACATGGTGTCAAGTTCAAGTATATGGCCTCTTAACAATAGTTTATCTATTCATCATCTTTAAACACACATAAAAGCCCAACAATTTATAAATTTAAAATTTTGGACCTAAAACTTTGATTATTTTTTTCCTCTACTTTTTAACCATAAAAAACACTTAGGTGCCCCCAAAAATGGAGTCTTTATTTTTTAAAATTTTTCTTTAAATATATGAATTTTTAAATAAATAACAAGAATAAGAAACTAGTTGTATTAACAAATTTATTGGTAATTGGTAATTGATATGGTTTTATAAATTTATTCCCAAGATTATAGAATTAATTAGCATTTTTATCGTACAACATATTTGAGGGGCGAATGGATGTCATAAAAAGTGTGCACATGTGCGTGAGAATATATGCTTCCCACTAGGCAGAAATTTAAGTTGATTTTAGATGTAGTAGCCTAGTAGGAGACAAAACCCATTCCGAAAGATATTTCTAATTTTTAGTGTATAGAATATAGATTCTCAACAAAGAAAATCGGACTAAAATTTAAATAGATTCGTTTCAACTTCTAACCGTCCAAAGGATTCGAATGCGTCAAAGTTGGAGCCAAATATTGAGATGAGAGCACCCATTTCCGATGTATGGAGAAAACAAAAATGATCGGAACAACAAATCTCGAAACAGTAACATGCACTTCAGAATATTCAACAAAGGATTTAGGTGACAGCGTTGTGTCATTCCTTTTAAGCCTTTACAGTATTTGTTAATTGCACAAAGAATAGAGAGACGCGTAAACTTGATCTCTTATTTGACTTGAAAATGTTAGCACACCAAGCATATTGATTATGTGAAGTTGCGACATGTACCGCAATATAAATGACAGATCGTTACTCTGTTTACTGTGCTTTCTCTACAGAATTCCTCAGTAAGGATATAACTTGAGCTGGCTCGGGGGCTCCAAACACTGAACTTCCAGCAACAATGCAATTCGCTCCTGCTGATGCAGCTGCGTCTATGGTTGAAGGTCCTAAACCACCATCAACCTGCAATCAAAATTGAACATGTCTTGGTCACTACAAAATACCATTATCACTAGCGGTGCATACTAACATGCTCTAGCAGAAGCATTCTATCACCTCCATGAATACAATAATTGGACAGAAAATAAAATTAAGTTGTTTTCATCAAGATCCTATATAAAAAGTAAAAGCTAAAACTGCAGAGGCAACAAGAAGTAAATAAAAGATCGTTGTCACTGCCTGTCATTGGACAAAGTGTAAAATGTTAAGGACTAAACAAGTTCATGAATTGATAATCTGAAAAACGTAGATATTATTGTAAGTTTACAACCATGAAGAAAACATGCATATATTTTGATAGAAAAGAAGTTACGAACAAGATAATAGGCAGAGATACCTCTATGTCAAGTGATGGATACTTCTTCCTCAGTATTCGAACCTGGTTTGAAAAGAGGGGAAAATTAACTACACCATAAATAAAGATGGCATGGCATACACAAGAGTTGTCAGCTAGTGTTGTCAAATAGCGGCGTAGCTGAATTTTAAGAAACAGTATTGTTCCATGATAAATGATTTAGAACAAAGTATCATCAAATAGTGATTATAGATGTAGTGTAGTGGAACTCAGCAAAAACGCTATTTTCCGTAATTCGTGATTGATAACACTGTCATCAGCCAAAAGACAAAATTTAAGAAAGTAATATAATACCTTTTCCATCATCTCTGGCATGAATTTTTGTCCTCCAAATCCAGGTTCTACAGTCATGACAAGAACCATTTCCACAGGATTTTCGGATTCAACCTGTGAAAAGAACACAGAGGGAGAGAGAGATCTTCTAAAGGCTAAAATCTCATAATCAAAGATGTATCTGTTCTCAAGTTTATGCACAAATATACTCAGTCACAACAACAACAACAACAACAACAACAAAGCCTTATCCCACTAAGTGGGGTAGGCTACATGGATCAACTTTCGCCACTATGTTCTATCCATAACCATGCTTTTATCCAAATTGAAATATACTCAGTCACATAAGATTAATAATAACAAAATGCAGCTATGCAGAAATGACCACACCGGAACAAGTGCGGGTGGGTAGAAACACATACCAGAGGATAAACCTCTTCAATAGACGTCCCAGGCTTTATCGCTACACCAGGCTTCATGCCCTGTGACTTAATACTTTGGATAAGTTCTTTCCAGTTGTCTGCCAACCAGAAAAAGAAATCATATACAAAAAGGTAGGAAGAAGAAAACACCATACGAGAGAAAATGAACAACGCAAAGAAAACTATCAAGACCCACCTTTTGATGTCTCTACATGAAATGTAAACCCAGAAGCACCAGCTTTTCCCAAAGGTTCAACATAATCAATAGGATTTGTAACCATCAGATGACAATCCAAATATGCCCTACAAGGGTTAATCACTATTAACTCAAATTCACCATTGACAATAGCAAAAAAGAGAAATTTAAATCAGCATAGAAGAAAAATTGTTACTTTGTGTGCTTTCTCAAACTTTCAATAATTGGAGCACCAATGGTTAAATTGGGGACAAAGTGCCTGCACAAAAATAGATGAAAAAATCGGAAGGAAAAAAAAAAAACATGTTCAAAACCAAGACAGTGAATGAGTCCTTACCCATCCTGAAAATGAACAAAACCTGAGACATGTCAGTAACCAACCATGTTATGAAACAAAACAGCTTCAATCATAGAAGTTAATAATAACTCATAATAACAGTAACAATTAAGATCCTTCCTAAAAATCAAAAATTGAAACTTGATTAAAAAGAATTTAGAGAACGAGAATAAATTGAAAGTGGGTGGTACCATGATGTCCATATGAAGCCAATCAGCGCCGTAATTGATCATACGATGAGCTTCGGAAGCCAAATTAGCGAAGTCGGATGAGAGCATTGAAGGAGCGATTTTGGGTGTCACTGCCATTTTTTTCGCGTCGATGAGTTGTGGTGGCTGCGTTAGGTAATTAATCGCTTTTTAAATAAGTCAAAAGCGGTAGGTAATTAATTGGTTTTTAAATACTTTTTGGACCCGAAAACGAGAACGGTAGGTAATTAATCGATTTTGTGAGCTTGATTTTTTGAAAGGAGCAGACCAAATAAGGCATAAAGGTATTTTTATTTATGAAAGCTAAGCGATGAATAATTAGAGGGAACATGCATTGCTTAATTTAAAGAACCTTGGTTTTTGAACTTGAGCCTCCTACTCAATTTACACTTATGTCTACTAACTCTATCTATATTTCAGAAACTTCATAAAACCACTTTAATGCATCATACATTCCAACATTATTTAACAAGAAAAATAGAAAATTACTCGTTAAATTCATAAAATAACCAAACATATCAATGGAATACTTTTCATGCAAAAACACAACATGAACTAACAATGCTTATGTATATATATGTCTAGGAAAGATTAAGAAATTACTAAAAATCAATGGTTTTTACATTTCATATACTGTATGTGCTTTCGTCTCGTCGTATACCAGTAGGATGCTTAAGATTCTATAAAATCGTTCGGTTAAAAGTACGCAAGAGAGAGAGAGTTCTGTTAAAAGTACGCAAGAGAGAGAGAGAAAGAGTTCACACGTGATTTTCGTGTGGACAACCTCTGGTCTTTCTACGCGGATTTGCTTGCGGGACTGATCAAACTAGTCCTAAGACGGCTTTGGTTTCAAGCGAGTTGTTTGCTTGGATTGTGGTGCACTTTGATGGTTATATATTATGTGGTTTACACTTTAAATAACTTAAGAATTGACAAAGACAAGGAAATGGTTGAAACAGAGACTTTGTAGGTATTCTGACAATAAAGCTTTGAATGCCTAAAATACTTAACAAACTTAAAGTAAAATATAAAAGTACAAGGAAAAAGATGTTTGGACGTATTCGTACATTTTTGGATGACAAAGTAAACTCTTTTCTCTGTAGCGCGGTACTCAGAGTGTTTTTCTTCCAATACTGACAAAAGACGCCCTTATTTTCTAGAAAATCTTGCTTTATATAGGCGTACGAAGTAACTGCCAAGGGGCTTCAAAATGCGCCACGTGTCACACCACATCTTTGGAAAACTGCCTCTACGTTTCTTATTTCAAATTGACTTTCCCGCCAATCCTCTAGCCTCTCTTGTCGAGAATGCCCTAGCTGGATTTCTTCTTTGTGTCGGTCGACGTAGGTCTTGTCAACCTATTCAACTCATGTTGTCGAGTCAAGATGTGATGCTTGCCAAGTTTTATTGTTGTCGGCCTTTGCTCTTTATGCAGGGAGTGAGTCAACCTTTAACTCTTGTTGAGGCTAGTTGGCTAATTTTCAGCCAACAGTAAGCCGCTGGATAGTCAAAGCAAGAGCTTAATCATGGGTGGTCAATGTCGAAGATATAGATGGTCAAGAGCTTCATAAGCTGAAATCCTGCAATTTGGACACAAGCAAAGCATTTTCTGTCCAACACAAAACACTGCCTATAAATAAACTTTTCGTTGATCAATAAAACGTAAATCAGTAAAGTGTAGGCGGCAGTTAAGTTACCGAAAGAAGATCAAGACCAGCAGGTTCAAGGCTAGTGAACTCTTCAGCTAGGTCCTACAAAATCAATTAGTTGATGGCCAGAATTTATGAAATGAAATGGAACAAAAATCACAACATTAATAATACCTTTGGTTGTATTAGAGGGTTAAATGCTTGAATAAAATTGCATATAGAAGACATGTCGAGCCAAGTTTCTTCTGTTGGCGTACCAAGCAAACTTTACATAGAAAATATCCAAATAATTAATTTTGTTTGTTTATTACATGCTGAGATATCATGGAAATAGTTATTGTGTTTTGATGAAATTACCAAAATATCTCAGTCAATAAGATATGCGCCTCCATAGCATGGAACACAGGTCAGCGATTAATGAGATGAGCAAACATACAGCCCATAGACCAGATATCAACTGCAGTTGAGTAATTGGTTGAGCCCATCAAAAGCTCGGGTGCTCGATAGCAAGGATGAGCTTACTGCAAATGGAAAACAAAATTACAAAAGCATTACTTTGAATGGTTAATTTGAAGTATCCATAACAATGTAAAAAAGAGAAAGTATATAGGAGGAGAATCATACACTAGGAGAAATTTTGGGTGCACGAATACCACATAGCTTGACTTTAGGAGGTTCCTGTAGGCGGTATTGAAAGAGAATGCTCAAAAGATCGATATCTGTGTGTACAATTTTGTGAGAATGGAGGTATGCCAGTCCAAAAAGAGCTTGAGGTAGAAGAGACTGCAGCAAACACAAAATGTAGAAGAAATTAGAGGCAGTATGAATCAAATCACTAGACTAGAAATTTGAAGCACTGACTTACTCTTTCAAGTGTGTCAATGCTAAGCATGGGATTGGTGATGTATCTTTCAAGATTTAGGTTAACCTCCTCAAAAACAAAATACACATCTTCATCAATAGCCACAACTTAAAGCTATTAGAATATTAATAGTAATTCATATTTATTTAGTTGTACTATTTTCCTTAGCCCCTAAGTTTGTTAGAGGGTATTTTAGTATTTTATCTTATTCTAGTAACCCTAGTTTTAGCTTATAAATAGGGTGACAATCATTGTAACTTTTATCATGTTTTGTAGCCGTCATTCTTAATAGAATATTTCCTTTGTTCATCATTTATTCACCTTTGCACCAACAATTGGTATCTAAAGCTCCGGTTCGGACTCATTGGGAAACACGGGAAACACGAGCGAACGTGAGGTCTTGTGTGTTTGATTTTGATTCTTAGATTCGTGTTGAATCTTGAACAAAATCTGATCAGAATTTTATTCTGTGGGTTGGGAAACACTGTGTGAGAAATCTGAGTGTATTGTGCAAGGTGAAGATGAACGGAAATGGCAACATGAACACCAAGCTTCCAGTATTTGACGGTAAAAACTGGAATCGTTGGATGATCCAAATGCGTGTACTGTTTGGTGCTCAAGATGTTTTAGATCTTGTCACTGATGGTTATGTTCTGGTAGCAGCAGATGCAACGGATGAACAGAAAAACGCGCAGAAGGAAGTAAGGAAGAAGGATCAGAAAGCATTATTCTTTATTCATCAATGTGTTGATGTAAATGTGTTTGAGAAGATTGCAGATTCAACGACAGCAAAGGCTGCGTGGGACACACTGGTTAGATGTTATGGTGGTGACGCATCAGTGAAGAAGGTGAAGCTTCAGTCCTTGAGAAAGCAATATGAGAATCTCAACATGAAGAATAATGAGAAAGTTTCTGAATACATCTCCAGAGTGATTCTGATCACTAATGAGATGAAGGCGTGTGGAGAAACTCTTTCTGAAGAAACAATCATGGAGAAGGTATTGAGATCCCTTACCTCTCAATTTGATTACATTGTGGTAGCAATAGAACATTCCAAAGATCTGAGTACCATGAGAATTGAAGAGCTGCAGAGCAGTTTAGAAGCGCAAGAGTTGCGTTTGACTGAGAGAACTTGTGAAAGGGAAGTAGAGCAGCAGGCTCTGAAAGCAACTTCTGATAGGAGGTATCAGAAGCAGTCAGAAGCCAAGAGAAGATCTGATGGTGGTCAGAAGTCAGAAAGCTCAATCTCTGATAGGCAAAAGAATGCTCAGAAGGGAAAAGAGAAGTATGACAAGAAGAAGATCCAATGTTACTGTTGTAAGAAGTTTGGTCACTTTGCTAGAGATTGTTGGTCAAACAAGGAGAAGAAATCAGAAGAAGCAAATATAGCCAGAAGTTCTGATGACGAATCTGTGCTATTGATGGCCTCTGAATCTGATGATATGGATCTGACAGACTGGTGGTATATGGACACTGGCTGTTCAAATCATATTACTGGAAACAAGAAATGGCTGGTTGACTTTGACTCTGAAAAGAGAACAAAGATCAGATGTGCTGATGACAAATATCTTAATGCAGAAGGTATGGGAAATGTCAGAGTGATTCTAAACAATGGGAAAACAGCATTGATTCAGAACGTGTGGTATGTACCTGGCATCAGAAGCAATCTGATGAGTGTGGGACAATTAATTGAGAAAGGTTTTTCAGTTACCATGAAGGACAATCTTCTGAAGCTGTATGACTACAATCAGAAGTTGATTATGGAGTCAGAACAGGGAAGGAATAGAACATTCAAGGTGAATGTCAGAACTGCAGACTCAGAATGTCTTAGTGGAACATGTGCTGAGAAGGAGAGTGAGCTGTGGCACAGAAGATTTGGTCATTTGAATTTCAGAAGCTTAAAACATCTGAATTCAAAGAAGTTAGTACATGGAATTCCTGCAATTAAGAAGCCTGAGAAGTCATGCAAAGTTTGCATGGAAGGAAAACAACCACGTTTGCCATTTGCGTCAGAAGTTGCTCCAAGAGCAAAACATGCCTTGGGAGTTGTACATTCTGATGTGTGTGGTCCATTTCCAGTAGCATCAATTAGAGGGAATAAATACTTTGTGTTATTTGTTGATGAATTCACAAGAATGACATGGGTATCCCTTATTAAGTTCAAACACAAGGTGTTTGATGAATTCAAGAAATTCAGAATGAAGGCTGAGAATCAGAGTGGTCAGAAGTTGAAGATTCTTAGAATCGACGGTGGAGGTGAGTATAACTCCAAAGAGTTCCAGAAGTTCTGTGAGGAGAATGGAATTGAGCATGAGGTTACTGCTCCTTATACCCCTCAACACAATGGTCTTGCTGAAAGAAGAAACCGCACTTTGCTTGATATGGTGAGAAGCATGCTAAAGGAGAAGAAGCTTCCTCAGAAGCTCTGGGGAGAAGCTGTTGCCACTGCAACGTATGTACTCAACAGATGTCCTACGAAGAAGTTGAAGGAAATAGTTCTTATGCAGAAGTGGACTGGAGACAAGCAAAGTGTTAGTCATCTGAAGGTGTTTGGTTCTGTTTGCTATAAACATGTTCCAGAAGCCAGAAGACAGAAGCTGGATGATAGAAGCAAAGTGATGATTCTGATAGGGTACCACAGTACAGGTGCATACAAGCTCTATTGTCCAGAAACCAATGAAATTGAATTCAGCAGAGATGTGATTGTGAAGGAATCAGAAGTTTGGAATTGGGATAAGTCTCAATCTGATTCTTATGTTAGAACTTCTGAAGAAAGGTCAGAGTTAAGAATTTCTGAAGTTGAAGTAAACTCTGACGTTGATTCTGACTCTGATAGTGATTCTGACTCTGGAGAAGACTCAGAAGATGAAGGTGACTCTGATGATCCAGACTCTGATGGTAATCCAGATTCTGGTGGAAATTCAGACTCTGAAGATGGCCAAGACTCTGAAAATATGCCAGATCTTGAAGATGGTCAAAGCTCTAGAGGAAGTCAACCATCTGAAGCTGGAAACTCTAAAGCTCAAGACTCTGAACAAGTTCAGAGACCACAAAGAATCAGAAGCGTTCCCAGAAGATTTGCAGAATTTGACATGCTGCAAGACACTGAAGTAGACTCTGAAGGAGAAGTTATTCAGTGTGCCATGTTAGTAGACTCTGAACCTATAAGTACAGAGGAGGCTCTTAAGCAGAAGCTCTGGCTAAAGGCCATGAAAGAAGAACTTGATGCTATAGAGAGAAACAAGACTTGGAAGCTGACAGAACTTCCAAAAGACAAGAAAGCCATCAGCGTCAGATGGGTTTTCAAGCAGAAGTTAAAGCCAGATGGCTCAATTGGCAAACATAAAGCAAGATTGGTAGCCAGAGGATTTCTACAAAAACCTGAGCTGGATTACTCTGAAGTGTTTGCACCTGTAGCAAGACATGAAACAATCAGAATGGTGATTGCAATAGCTGCTAACAGGAATTGGCCTCTGATGCATTTAGATGTAAAATCTGCATTTCTGAACGGTCCATTAGAAGAAGAAGTTTACGTGTCACAACCTCCTGGATTTGTGAAAAAGAATCAGGAAGGGATGGTGTACAGATTATACAAAGCTCTATATGGATTGAAACAAGTGCCCAGAGCTTGGAATCAGAAGATTGATTCATTTTTCAAGAAGCAAGGCTTTCAGAAATGTGAGATGGAGTACGGTGTCTATGTTCAGCATACTTCTGAAGGAAATATGACTCTGGTATGTTTATATGTTGATGATATACTATTGACTGGAAGTTCTGAACAGGAGGTAGCCAAGTTCAAGAAGGTTCTAATGAATGAATTTGAAATGACTGATCTAGGCAAAATGACATACTTTCTAGGGATGGAGTTCAGATATTCTGAGAAAGGTATCATTTTGCATCAGCTCAAGTATGAATTAGAACTTCTGAAGAGATTTGATCTGAAGAATTGTAAGATGGCTGTCACACCTTCTGATACAAATCAGAAACTGGATTCAGACTCTGAAGGAAAGGATGTGGACGCTTCAACCTTCAAACAGTTGGTTGGTTCTCTGAGGTATCTGTGCAATACCAGACCTGATATTTGCTACTCAGTTGGGATGGTTAGTAGGTTCATGAGTAAACCTAAGTGGTCCCATTACCAAGCTGCTGTCAGGATTCTGAGGTATATCAAAGGAACTCTGAAGTATGGAGTGTTATTTCCCTCTGGAGGAAATAATGAGTCAGAACTTCTGAGTTATTCAGACTCTGATTGGTCTGGAGACAGAGTTGACAGAAGAAGTACATCTGGGTACTTATTCAAATTTCTGGTAGGTTCCATTTCTTGGTGTTCCAAGAAGCAACCTGTTGTGGCATTGTCAACCTGTGAAGCTGAATACATTGCAGGTGTTGTTACTGCATGCCAAGCTGTGTGGATTCTGAATCTGTTGCAGGATCTGAAGATTAAAGTAGACAAACCTCTGAAGTTGATGATTGACAACAAGTCTGCAATTAATCTTGCCAGAAACCCAGTGTTGCATGGGAGAAGCAAGC